TCCAGTTCTTTCCTAATTGTGAAAACATGACATATTCATTAATCATTTTTTCTTTATGAGTTCTGAAACAGGTGTTTCTACTGTTAAGCGCTTGGAGGAGCCATTAGCTGACTGGCTGGCTGTTTTCTCCCATCTGTTTGGATTATATTTACCATAATTAGCACTTTAGCCAAATCACTCTAATCTTCTTATTTTCCACCGGCTATTCCCCCTCCCCACCAAAAGTACCAAAGATTCTTTGCAAGATGATTTTATAAACAAAAGCAGTTCCCAGATCATCAGCCAGTAGTACCCCTTGACCATAGTTATTAAATGCATATTAAAAAGTTATTAAATGCATATACTATGGTAATAAAGTATGGATTTCCATTATTGTTTTTAATCAGCATTTCTGAATCTCATGTCAGCTTAAAAGATCATTAATATATAAAAAGAGGGATAGGGCAAAATTCTTTCTATCCATATGACATTATTCTAAAGCTTGTACTTAACTTTATAAAAATGAGATTTGCATTTATAAAAACACCACCAATTAAAATATTTATTTTAAATTTGTAATCCTGGTGCGGTCAGCGCTTGCGAATTAGTCCAGCAATTCAGAATTCCTGGACTAATTCAGAATCTCAGAATTCAGACTCTCACTGCCCACTGCAACTACCTATTGAGCATCACTAAATCCATGAAATAGCAAAATCTCAAGAAAGATTTGGTTGGCAGTTCAGTGGTAATTACACTCTTTCCCCATACTGATGCCTACAATGGGAATACCAGCTTCTACACTAATTCGAAATCCAGGGAGCTGTAATTCCAGTGTCCTGGACAGCTCTTGCTTAGAAAAGAGTAAATTAGGACATAGGACATCTGTTGCACATTATGTTATCTCTTTATACTTCTAAGCTTTTTTGACCTCTAGGGCAAATTGTGAGATAGACAAGGGACAGGATCTTCACAGATATTCTTAGGAGAGTAGGAAGAAAGAGGTGAAGAAGGTGTCAGACTGATAAAAGTAGCCTTGTGGCACATTCAAAAGGAAAGAGGTTGTGAAATGACAGTCTAATGTTGCTTTCATCAGAACCATAATGAATTAAATAAATAAAATGGATATTTTCATCTTGTCATTGCCACTACTAATTTCCTTATGCCAACTTTGTCAGTCTTATGTAGTGTAAATGCAATGCTAATATTCTAATCCTGACTTCGTATCTCTATTCAACCCAACCTTGTAGAAAAGAAACAAGAATTCAGTCAAAGTTCCCGCTCATCTACCTAATGGTTTTTTTTGGCGGGGGTGGGTGGGTGGGTTGGTTTGACAATGGGAATAACCATAATATGAGCAAAATTGAATATTCATCTTTCAAAGTTTGTAGATTTTGAGACTCTTGAAAGAGTACAGAGAAGAGCAACACATGTTGATTAAGGGACTGGAGGCTAAAACATATGAAGAGAGCCTGTAGGAATAGCATATGTCTAGCTTAATGAAAAGAAGGACTAGGAGTGACATGATAGCAGCATTCCAATATCTAACGGGCTACCACAAAGAAGAGTGGGTAAACCTATGTCCCAAAGCACCTGAAGGCAAAACAAGAAGCAATGGATGGAAACTAATCAAAGAGAGGTTCAACTTAGAAATAAGAAGAAATTTCCTGACAGTGCAAATACTTAATCTGTGGAATGGCTTGCTTCCAGAAGTTGTGGTTACTCTGTCACTTTTAAGGCTTTTAAGAAGAGAGTGGACAACCATTTGTCTGAAATGGTATAGGGTCTCCTATATGACAAATTGTGATTTGAAGAAGCTGACTTAGAAGACCTCCAAGGTCCCTTCCAACTCTTTTATTCTCATATCACTTTCTAAGAAACTATAGTGGGTTTAGAAGTCAGATACATATTTTGCATAAGACATATCTGGATGAATTATTTTCTGAATAAGATGAACCTATTGTTTACGTCTCTATTAAAGCAGAATTTCATGTTCTGATACTAACATCCTCAAATTGTTATCAGAGAGCTGTGATGTAAATAGATTTATTAACTAAAGTTTACAAGGCTGATTTCTGTTCAATGCACAGGAATAAATGGGATTCTTTGCATGTATGAATTTTTTTTTCCAAAAGTCCATCTCTTTAATGGAAGTCACCACTTAGCTGCTAAATCACTCACTGCCAGCAGTGATGGCAGACTTCATTTCTCTTAACCCATCTGTTTATAAATAAATCTTTTGTAATTCAGCCAAAGCAAAAAATGAGAAAATCCTTTAGCAAAGTTAATAAATCTTAGCCCAATTTCAGCTGTCTATCAGCTTCAGCTGAAAAGGCTGTTCAGATAATTGAAAAAGACTTGATCACAGGAACTTCTCATTATGGAAAACTCTGCTTGTCACTGTGTTGTTTATGCACTATATAAAAGTGAATGATTTTATTCTTTATTGTTACATTATTCAAAATTGTCTATTGACTAAATTAAAATAAAAAGGAAATAAAATAAATGCCCTCAGAGCCTACCAGAAGAAAATGCTCATTTCGTTCAAAGTCCTTCTCAAAAGATTTTTTTAATGAAGTATTTAATATAACTTGGTTGACCCTAAACTACATCTATGCACTTTACTATAAACTACATGTAACTGCCATGGATATTTCTTCCCTGTTTTATCTCTTCCCCCTATATTTCTTTGAGAGTTTCCTTAGCAGAATGTTTAATGTAGGAGTGTCCAACCTTGGCAACCTTTAAAAAATGTGGACTTCAACTTCCAACTTCTGGAAGTTGAAGTCCATGCATCTTAAAGTTGCCAAGGTTGAACACTGGTCTAAAGCTTTGGACAGCTGGCAATAAATGCATCCTCACAGGTAGTCCTTGGCTTATTTCCATTCATTCAGTGACTGTTCAAAGTTATGGTGTTGCAAAAAATAGATTTATGATACATACTCAAAAGTTCTGGTCATCACAGAACCCCACAGATTATTGTGGTCCAGGGACTTGGGTGCCTGACTTGTGATGATAATGTCAGTGAGCTACAGCCATGTGATTGCCTTTTGTGACTTTCTGTTCATCTCCATCCACCCATGACCTCCCCTGACTTCTGTGTAGCCTTCATCAGGCAGGTTCTGATGGCTTCCCAACTCCATAGTGCCTATCCATGGTACCCACTTCCCCATGGTACCACTGCACTCGTCTGGGACATTTAACAGCTTGTGGGGTCCTGAGTTTATGACGGCAACCAGGACTGCCATCACTAAATGATAATGTCATATGATGTCGTGCTTTATGATTGCTTTGCTTACCAATAGCAATCCTGGTTCCAATTGCCATAGTAACCATGGGACTACCTGTATAGTAGGTTTATTAGAATCTTGCAAAATTTATTTCAAGGTTTCAGGCTCTCTGTTTTAAAAACAAATCATCAAAGGGAAATCCTGATGTTGTTCTGTGTTCTAACTCAGGGGTGTCAAACTCACAGTCCAGATGCATCATGCGCTGACCACGGCCACACCCGGTTTAGCGAAGTGGAAATGTCACATACGTTAACAAGATGCCACAAGCTTGGCACCCCTATTCTAACTCATTTAGGTTACCATCAGTATTCCCTTCCTTATGGTATCATAACATTAGACTGAAGGATCTTTTCCCAACATTGAATTGTTCTCTGAAGAATCTATGATTCTTTTTAATATGACAAGTTGTGGTTGGAGGAAGCTGAAAACAGATGAGAAATTTAGAGAGCAAAAGGCAGTGTATAAAGCAGCCCTTGGATATAGTTGAAGTAAACATAAAAAAGGCTATGAAGAAGCATAGAGAATGATATTGGCAATTTTATTTTCTTCTCTCATGCCTTTAATTTTTGTGGCTAGTTTTTACTGATTTTCTGCCCTCTGCATAACTTTTTACCTGGAACAGAAAAAGTGCTAACAGGTAATTTTTAGTTTGTTGATCTACCACAGCCAGGTATCCACTGTGTATGGGCTAAAACTGAGTACTGAAAATGCTGCTGCTCTAGAAAATGCATCTTTCCAACATCTACTGTGATCACAACTAATTATGGGTTTTCTGTCACAGATGGTTGTGCAACTAGCCTCTAACAGCTGTTTCCACCCTTTATGGGTGGGGGAGGAGGCTTCTGTAGGGCTGGTCATGAATTAACTGAAGATTAATACCTTCAGATTATAGTTAAAGCACTCAGTACATATCATTTATCAGCTTCAAGCAAGCAAAACAAATTCCCCTTTGTGTTATAATTAAACGTTATAGCTCACATGTACTATTTCACTGCTGTCGATGTATCTTTGTTTACATAAGGAAAACGTTTGGCTTTTTAACCTTTGGAAATGTTTATAACCAAGAATAAAAGAAAATGAGCCAATTGGAAGCATCAATGTTATTGAAGGGGAAAAAAATTGCTGCCAATTTGAAACACTAAAGGGGAAACGGGGGATGTTTACAGCCACCATATCTGGGCTGCAAACACCTGCACAATTGCTCAGATTACCAGTATCCCTTTGCTGCCATCTCTTTTGTTGTTTAAAGCAGTTGTTTCTCAACCTCAGCAACTTTTAAGATTTGTTTGGAGTCTTAAATAAAGGCTGGGAAATTCTGGGAGTTGAAGTCCACACATCTTAAAGTTGCTGATAAACACTGATTTAGACAACGGAGCAAGAGAACTTTCTTACTTTCCTCTGAATTGTCTTACCCATAACATTTTTCTCTGCAAAAACACTTGAAAAACGCGCCTTCTGTTGCGCACAGGCAAAACTGCATATCATACAATATTTAGAAATACGAATTCCCACGATTTCAGTCAACCCATTTCCTTACACTCCCCCAATAGCCGTTCCTCCTATCCACTTCTAAAACAAGACTCTTTGCGAAGCGATGAAAGCCATGCCAAAGTATTGTCGGCAGCGCGCATGCGCTACTGAAGGAAAAAAAAATCTGCCAGCGCTTCGGAGCTGCAACTGCTCACGTGATATTAAGAGAGGCGGGACAAGCTTCCAATATGGCTGCGCCCATGGGAAGCAAGGTTGCAATGTAGTTGCCGCATCTCGATGGATTTTTCTGAGCACGCATGGATCGTGGGGATTTCTTGATCTCCCTTGGGGTGAGTGAAGGAGACTTACAGTCCGCACTAGATAAACTTGGTTATAGGTGGAAGATCCAATAGGAAAAAACCTCTGAAAAGACTTTGAGGTCTTTTAATTATGAGTTTTAAACTGCATAGCCCTGTGCCTGCTAAACTCTTTTGAAATCTCCACGATCGTTTGATTTTGCATAGATCCCCAATTGATGTGCGGGACATTTTGGTGACTTCTTCACAGTTAAAAAGGATTAAAAGGCATATATGCAAAAGCAAGGTAGAGGGGAATGGAGCGAAAATGTGACAACTCCCCAGTGCGAGTCTTTTTTGTTGCCATCTGGTGTCAGCCGGATTTTGTGCATCTCAGATCTGGAAGCTTAGTGAAAAGAAGGGCTAAAAACATGCATATTCTATACATTCCTCGGGGGCAACACATTACAGTATTTTGAATTACTGGATTTAGAATGAACTGCGTTTCTTTTTGATACTGAGGTTTTTTGACATTGAACAAGTTTCCTAATTATGCTGCTGCTAGCTAGCATCTTGCACAAGACCTGTTTAGAAAAAATTCTTACATCATATCAAATATGAGAGACTTAGCAGAGGGCAGCATTGTCTGGGGTCAAAAGCTAAATACTGGGAGTCCTGTACATGTTCGATAGGACACCACCTAGTTATTTTAAGGATTTGGGATTGCTAAAAAAAGAATGTTGAACACCCCCACCCCACCATGGCATGGCTTTATTGTTGCAAAGAAAACTTGTATGGATGTGCCTTTGTAATCTCCTGAAGTTAAGTTTGATAAGAAAACATCTTTTTTGTAAACAGATTACAAACACATGCACTTTAGGCCATGTTTAAAAAATTTATTGGTAATAATAATTTAGTTTCCTCCCAATTAATTTTTGTGAAGTTCTAATGAGAATTGTAATTAATTAAATATACCCACCATTCAGCCTTCTGCATATTATTGTGTTTTGAAGGCACTGAATATTTAATGGGCTTTATCTACTTAGAGCAGGGATGTCAAACTCAAGGCCTGGGCCCACAGGGTGCTTAGATCTGGCCCATGATGCCATCTTGGAAACAGTGAAGGACCAGCCCATAGTGTCTCTGCCAGCAAAAATGCAGCTTATAAAGGCCGCCTGTGGCTCTCCCAAGCTCCATTTTCACTGCAGAGGGTTGCAGGAGGCCATCCCAGCTGAAAACAGAGCTCAGGAGCCCATTTTCACTGGCAATCCACGACAGGCGCCCCTGACCCAAGTGATGTCATGCTGGTCACTCCCACCCTAGTCATGCTCACCCAGGCTCCAGAAGGTCAAACACAACCCTGATGTGGCCCTCAATGAAATCGAGTTTGACACCCCTGACTTAGAGGCTTGTGGTATGATATTACTTGCATATTATTTAAAAATAAATGCATCTAATTCACTGTGGCATGACAGGCATATTGGAAAGAAAATATGTGTAAGATCATGCAATAGGTAGCGTCTCAGTGTTACAAAAATAATACCCACAGTTATTACAATAATGAACTTTCAGTGCCATCTTTGTGTTTTCTAATCTTTAAGGTCCCAATTTTTAAAGTTTTCCAACAAGACAACAGCAGGGATCATCAATATGGTGGACCTTTGGGTTCAAAGATGTTGTGCAGTTCATATGTGCACACTGGGGTAACTTTACTGCAGGGCTACCAGTGTCCACACATGAATTGCACAATATCTTTGAACCCAAAGGTCGACCATATCTATGATCCCTGCTGTTGTCTTGTTGGAAGACCATAAAGATTAGGTTATAGACAGATCATAATGGAGAATCTATGAAGCTGTTAGAGTTGACAGCCATTTGATGACACATAATCAAACACACACAAAAAAATAAAATAAAACTAGAGTATATAAAGTGATAAAAAGAAGAAAAACCCAAATATAACAGATATATATTTGCACAGCTACAAGTATCCATAAACTAGAGCCATGATTCATAACCATTATTTATAGTTGATCAGTTTTAATTAATACTGCAAACCACTGAATAACTATGGAGCTGTATATTTGTATTTCCAATGTTGAACAGCAAGCCTTATGATAATTTTTATTTGTATTCTCAGATCACATTTGCCAAAAACATTTGTGGTTTTAAATCAAATTTAATTCCTGAGCTTTTTAGAGTATTTCTTTGTAATACTTTTGAGATTTTTACACATAAAGCATCTTTTTTGTGGTGGCATGTCTAATATTTCCTGTCAATTTATTTGATTGATTGGTTGATTGAATGATTTCTATAGCCCCCAATTCAACAAAGTGACTCTGGGTGGCTGATTTATCCATCCTGGCAATTGTTAACAGAATTATATACCATGTTTCATTTTGCACCAAATTTTCCCTAAGACTGTAGCTTGGTATAAAAGTTATTGACTTCTTCCATTGATCTGTGACTATTGTTCGTCAACATTTTGCATGCATTTAATCATATAGTTTATTATTTGCTCTATCACTATATCATGTTTGATTAAGCAATTTGTAATTATGTGTCTTAATAAATGATTTTAATTCTTTATAGGTAGTTTGAATTCTGTCATCTTTTTCAGAGTCCCTCCTTTTGTAAGACTGCTTTTTTTTTTTTTTACTTTTCTGGTTGTTATTAACAAATAGATTAACCATGGTAAATGTATTCCTTCATTAAGAAGAATCTGTTTCCTCAGTTTTCCTGTAGTCAGTATAGTGTTCAAAAGCATATGAACATACTAAACCTTTCCCCCAGTATTCGGGTTTCTAAAATTGTCTCAGGCTGTCCAAAAATAATGAAATGGCATAAAAAAAATTCAAATTATGTGCAAAGCTTTCTATTTCTCTTTTTTAGAACTATAAAAGTAGTTCCAGAAAGGGTATCAATGTTCCTTTGCTGTCCAAAAAATCATTATTGTTTTCCACAGTTAAAATAGGCATCTAGGTATTTGTACTCTCTGGCAGATGCTCCACATTAGCTACTTCATGAATTTAAATTACGTATAAGATACAAAAGTTTCAAATCCAAAGAACCAATTAGTAACTTTTGATTCATGCTTTTGCCAGATGGCTAGATTAAAACCAGATCAATTTTCTTTTTCTTCTCTTAATCACTTGCTACAGATAAGAATTCTGATGGAGAAAGAGCTAAAAGGATAGGGAGTAGTGAAATCAATGCATGCAAAATAGCCAAGCAGATTAAAAGAGTAATTAACTTATTGATTAAAATTTTAACTGAAGCTAGTGAGCACTTTTTGAATAAGATATCATGGCTGACGATGGCTATCCTTGACTTCTGCTGTGAAAGAACCCAACAATAGAAGGCAAACTAATTCTATGTGAACTAAAATTAATGACAATTGCTGTTGCTTTTTCCTTTTTCTTTGATAAATCCTTTGCTCCTTCCTGTGAGAATTTCCTGAATTAGTCTGGGCTGTCATCCATCAGAATCTTGGATTATTTTGAGGTGTCATCAGGTTGTTTATGATTGGACTGTTGATGATACCCACCTCAGGGCAAGTAGAGGATATAATAGAAGTGTTGACCCAGGGTCTTGATTCTGCAAGGACTGGATGGGAAGGAACTGTGTTTAATGTCAGTAAGCAGTGGTGCTGTTTGTTTCAGAAACTATTTGGCCTTTGCCTGCTCCAGTTACAATTCTGCATGGGAAACAACTCTCCACTAAGACCAGATTTGTGACTTGAAACTCCTCTAGACTTATTACTACCAGTAGATAGGCAAATGCTTGTGGGTGTTTTTAATAGGGATGCGATGGCTCAGTGGCTAAGACGCTGAGCTTGTTGATCAGAAAGGTCGGCAGTTCGGCAGTTCAAATCCCTAGTGCCGCATAATGGAGTGAGCTCCCGTTACTTGTCCCAGCTTCTGCCAACCTAGCAGTTCGAAAGCATGTACAAATACAAGTAGAAAAAATAGGGACCACCTTTGGTGAGAAGGTAAAAGTGTTCCATGCGCCTTTGGCATTTAGTCATGCTGGCCACATGACCACGGAGACGTCTTCGGACAGCACTG